TTAGATGAACAAATATAGGAAAGGATTAAACTAAATGAATTTAAAATAAGTAACCTACAAACTAGGAGGTCACAGTTGGATTCCCTGTCAGGCCATATGCCCAGGTTGTGGGCTCAATCCCCAGTGTGGGGCATGCAGGAGGTGGCCGATCAATGATTCTCTCTCATCATTGATGTTTCTCTCTCTCTCTCCCTCTCCCTTACTCTCTGAAATCAGTACAAATATATTTTAAAAAAAGATCTGGCTACTTCTTCTGACCTTCTCCTTTTAGAATAAAATGACTTGTGGCAATCAATCTTTATCATCTGTGGATTTGTTTTTCCCCTTATTTTTCTTAAATAAAAAATTCAGCATAAGGTTGTTTTTTGATTGGTGATCATTGAAGTCACATGGAACTGCATTTGGAACCTTTACATCTCTTAAATTGTATCAAGTTATATCATGTGGTAATTCTTGGAAGAATGGATTAGTGGATTATGAGTGAACATATTTTGGGTCCCATGAGGCTGTCTTTGGTTCATTGATCTAAACCATAAGAATTTTCTATTAATTTTGGTTGAAGATTCAAAGGCAGAGGGAAGCCTTAACCTGTTAGTTGATTGATTTAAAATATCACTATTATTAATATATAGTCAAGATATATAATTATTTAGGAAACAGATCTTAGCCCTGCTGTCAGTCTCTAAAATGATTTTTAAAAATTCAGATTTGTGTTAAAAAGTAGAATATCACTCTAAGAAGTGAGACAGCTTTAGTGTTTATATACAATCTCATTTTCCACAGACAACACAGACTCCTTCCTGTTTCTGACTACTGGTTAGTCATGGTGGGATTTGTTTGGCTTTTATGAATGCCATTAAATTTTAATATACAGATCAGATGTCTTATTATAGGGGAAAATGGTGCAGTGTCTATTTTGGCCCTATCATTTTACCACACAAGGGAACCATTAGAGGAGAATCACATTGATTCCTGCAAAGCTTTCATCTTTCTTTGTTGTTTCCTTTCTCTATGATGACTACTTATTTTTTGTTTTTCCTCAAATTTGAAACACTTATGCAGTAACTGGATCCTTACAAATAGGTGTAGTGCAACAGTTGCATTCTATGATGCTTATGTTTGCTATAATTTCATCAAGATTCCTGTTACCTGGAAATAAAATCAAGTTTGTTCCTTTTTAAAGTTATTTTCTATGGGCCAGGTGATTTCATGATTGCCTGTAACTGTTGAAAATTCACTCTTTCATTTAAGTATTTATTGAGCATTTATTATGTGTCAGGCATTGTAGTCTATGAACACATTAAGGAACAAGATAGACAAGGTCCTTGCCCTGCTGAACTTATAGTCTTGTGGGAGATAGTGAAAATTAAACTGAGGGTATGATATGTCTCGTGAGAGCACATACGAGAGGTACTCATAGATTTAGGATAGTTTCCTCAAGTATGAGGCCTTTAAAAGTGGAGTCTAAAAGAACAAGTCGGGGTTAGTCAAGTAAGAGAGGGGAGAGAGGTGTTTCAGTTGGAATGGCTATTAGAAAACCTGAAGCTGCCCTGACCGGTTTGGCTCAGTGGATAGAGTGTCGGCCTGGGGACTGAAAGGTCCCAGGTTCGATTCCGGTCAAGGGCATGTACCTTAGTTGCGGGCACATTCCCAGTAGGGGGTGTGCAGGAGGCAGCTGGTCGATATTTCTCTCTCATCGATGTTTCTAACTCTCTAACCCTTTCTCTTCCTCTCTGTAAAAAATCAATAAAATATGTTAAAAAATGATTTAAAAAAAAAAAAAAAAAGAAAACCTGAAGCAACAGATAAGTGCTCTCCAGCTAGTGGTCTTTAGTGAGTGGTTGGCTATTCTTAAAGGACTTTTGAAATGCTTCTCTGGGATATTTTAAAGTTTTCATTTAAACGTTTTTAAATCATAACTTTAGTTATAAAACATATATTTTCTGCCATATTGTATACTATATACATGTGTTAAAAATGTTTTCATGTAAATTTCGCTCATTAATTTATGGAAAACATCTGCCGTAATCATTGTCGAAGCCAGTCCTCAAATGCCAAACCAAATTTACTTTTTTAAACTTTATTTTTTTAAAAGTTCTTGCTTCAGTCAATTATCTCTTAAAGATATTTAAAGAGTAAGGGAAAAAAGTATTTTTCTTTTTACCCACATAGTTACCACTTTGTGCTCTTTTTTTTTTCTCCCCTGTAAATCCAAATTTCCATCTGGCATACTTTTTCTTCTTCCTAAACATTTCTTATAGTTCAAGTCTGCTAGTGATGAATTCTTCCAGCTTTTGTATATCTGAAAAAATTTTTATTTCACATTAAACTTTGAAATATATTTTCTTTGGGTATAGATTTTGACAGATTTCCTTTTTCTTGAGTACTTTGCTGGCTTGCATTATTTTCAAAGAGAAGTTTGTTGTTATTCTTATCTTCATTGCTTAATGCAGCAATTTTCAACCTTTTTTTAAATCTTGTGGCACACATAAATTAATTACTAAAATCCTGTGGCACACCAAAAAAGATATATTTTATTTTTGCTGATCTGACAAAAAAATAGGTATAATTTTGATTCATTCACACCAGATTCATTCACACCAGATGGCAGTTGTGTTGCTGTTTTTTTTTTTTTTGTTTTTTTTTTTTTTGAAATCTAAGGGAAAAGAGGTTAGTGCCCCTGACTAAATAGTCAGGTACTGCA